CTGTGTACAGACGTCCCCGTCCTGAGGGGAGGGGGCGACTGTACAAAGGCTTCAATCGGTGAAACAAAATTTTTGAGATTGTACTCAAATAGGGTAACTTCAGAGAACAAAAGAATCCGCACCCCTCCCCTGTCCCCTCCAATCAAAGTTGGATGTTTGTTGTTTTCTACAGATAGCTCGAACGTCGGCACAAAATTGCATAGAGGGGATGGCGCAGGAAAAGCTATTATTTGCTCCTTTTAAAGTCAGTGAAACGTAAACAAGCCCAATTTAGGGTGAAGTGTCTCCACTTATATTGTCGCCTATTGTAGGTTATAAAGTTTGCGCCATCTGGTTTTTTCTATGACACGTCTCCGCATGCCTCCAAAATGACGGAAATTACAAATTTGTAAGCATTTTGAAGCCAAAGATCACAAATATCCTCAGCGTTGCGGATCTACTGAACAGCGGAGACGAATAAACAACGCCACACTACAGACGGGTTTGACCGGGTAGGGCAAATTATCTACAAATATTTCCCACAATAATTCCGTTTTGTCGTGGCAAGCCCCCCTATATATTTAGATATTGGTATTTTTATTTAGTAATTAAAAGAAGGAGAAATGTCTGAGGAAAAAGACTGGTCACGTTAAGTTAGTATCCCTTGACAAGCATTATATATTTGCCCACTAGAACGACAAAAAACATCTTTCTTGGAAGGCAAAGCGAACTGACTCGCCAAAAAAAACGTATTCCTGCTACAGTTAGCAAACCGGGAAGAAATTTGTGCTTACTCAGTTGGCCACATCAAGTTGACTAGTATTGTGTTTGCTGGTCTCTTTTGACTGTGGTTTGAAAGTTAAAGTAGTACATGTGATCGAATTTGACTGACATTTGAATTTGTTTACAAATGTCGAAAATGTATGTATCGGTGTTTTAAACAGAAGTCGCGAAATTAACCGCAAAAGTTCCTGAGACTCTGCTCAGACGAGGAGGGTACTTTAACAAATTAATCTTTTTCCGGAAAAAGCCGAATGTACTGCGTAACAAGGTATCTTCGGATTGAAAGCTACTGGAAAATCATAAGGAAAAATTAGAGAGTTGCGAATAGTTTTTTTTTGGCCTTCCGGTTAGCCCAATTCACAAAACACCCACCACGGACCATTGTTTCCTGAACGTCAACAGTAGCTTAACGGAAGTTCATAAGGCAAAAATTGAACACTGAAATCGAGAAGAACCGTTTTTTTTTTTTTTTTTTCACTCCTTCCAACTGCATCAGTTATCACGCCAGGAACACTTGACGTATCTTTTTACCAAAAAATAACCGCCCAAAAAAGAAAAGCCAACAGGTAGCTTTTGCTTTGCAAATGTGCCCAATAGTGAGTTTATAATTTGGGGTGCAATGAATCGACTGTCGGCTTTTTGTGAAACATGCAAATATCGGGGAAACCAGTTGTACAAAAGCAATAAGGAGAAATGGCAGTTATTAACTCAAGCTTTAACTTTATAATTTTCCATGTTCTTTTCGCCGAAATTCAGCGTTCACTTGCTCTTGAAAGTGAAAAAGTTGAGCGAATTCGAAATATCACCTCTATTCTCCAGTCTCCCACATTACAAGGACCGCAGCGAATTTTTTCTTTTTTTTTACTGCTGGCTAACGACTTCAGCAATGAAAATATCAATTACAGCCAGCTATTAGGTGACTCGGAATTTTCATAACTTAAACAAAAAAATTTTGTTGAAGGGATTTGTGGCTATTTTCAAGTTAATTGAAAATGATTGCTTCAAAGTCCATGACCAAATTAAAAAACCTTAGACAAATATTCCTCTATGCATCGTCTAATTATTCCAGAGAGAAACCTATTTTTGTAAATGTGTGCAATATTTTCAGCATTTTTAGAAGAAATACACATATATCGCTTGAACACTTATATACATTCCAGCAGCCTCAAGCGATCGTATGTTTCGTTGTTTTTGTCCGTATGCAAATAACTCCATGTAACCGTATTAAATGTATCGCATCATTGGCCAATTTAATTTGTGATCCGACATAGATGAACAATTTTCTCACGTTTGACTTGGTGGAAAGCCCTAAATCAAGAAAGCCAGTATCTACAATTTTAGAAATCGGCGTCGACAATGACGAACAGATATCACCGGACGAACTGAAAATTTGGCTTGCGCGCCGGAAAGAAATCGACTTGTCTCGTAGTCCTTAACGATAAGAATCCGTCGAGTAGGTATTTACACAATATTCAGTAGCAAAGCAGACAAAGCACAAATAAAACAGAAGTGAGTCATAAAGCCATACCTTTACAATTTGCCAGGATAACAGCAGACACTATTGTGATGCTTGCGATCTTCATGATGGCGCTCTGATTTAATGCTCTGTTTACTTCTGTGATATTATGCTTTCATTACACTCGGCCTTTCGATACATTATGCATATATTAACATTTGTCGCATAAAATATAAGATGCTAATAGCATGCAAAAGATTTTGAGAATCTCTTGTAAATTATTCGAAATATTGTGGAAATTTTTGACCGCGATGGTTTTGTTAAGACAGTCGCTTGATACTTTCCCGAAGATTTCGTTGCATCTTTTGGCTTCGACAAAAAACAGCGCACTTGCCCTTCTTCCGATAAAATGGCACTTAAAAATAATGATAATAACTATAATGACAATAATAATAATAACAACAAAAATAACAATAACGATAACAACAATACTGATTCTTCTACTACTACTACTAATAATAATAATAATAATAATAATAATAGTAATAATGATAATAACAATTAACTATTTATTATTATCCCAAATATCATTCATCCATTCATTTCCGTTTCTGATTGGCTTAAAAATCCCTGTCAAATTCTTAATAATCAATACTGTTGACCAAATTTGAAAGACGTTTGCCGATACTTTCAGAGATGAGTCCTTTTTTACGGTTCATTGTTCCTGAAAACCAGTTAAGGGTGTTTTAAAAAATTACAGCTTAGCATATCTTGAATGACACAGCTCAGCTTTTGCAACAAAATGATGATAATCTGCTTTATAAAAGGTCTCTCTTGATACTAGTCATAATCCAGTCCCCATGCGACTTAATGAAAGTATTAAATAATAATAATAATAATAATAATAATAATAATAATAATAATAATAACCATCCATGGCACTCTTCACCCCAGGCCCAATGTAAGCCGCTTGTACCTACCAAGAAGAGAAGGAGGGCGTGGACTAATTAGTGTTGAGGATGCCATTAATATTGAAGAAAGAAATATCAATGTCTACGTCTGCCAGAGCCAGGAACGGTTGTTGAAAGCTGCATGGAAGAGGAAGAATGTCAATGAAATTGAAACGCCAAAGGAATATAAGGAAAAGATGAAGAGGAAAAGAACTGAGGACTGGTCTGGAAAGCAGCTGCATGGGCAGTTCAAGAGAGAGACAGATGACTTAACTGGTGTGTCTTGGGAGTGGATAAGAACTGGTGAGCTGAAGAAGGAGACAGAAGGCCTTATTTTTGGCGCGCAAGATCAGGCACTAAGAACAAACGCTGTAAAAGCCAGAATCGAAAACCAAAATGTATCATCCAAATGCAGAATGTGTGGTAGCCACGATGAAACTGTGCAGCATATTTTGTGTAGTTACCCCAAGCTTGCGCAGACAGAATATAAAAAGAGGCATGATGTTGTTGGGCGGGTCATTCATTGGGAGGTGTGCAAGGAATATGGAGTTGAGTGCAGTGACAAATGGTATGAGCATTCCCCCAAAAGCGTAGAAGAGAATGAGGAGGTTAAACTGTTGTGGGACTTTACCATCCAAACAGACCGTGAAATCTATCACAGGAGGCCAGACATTGTAATTCAGAAAAAGAAGGCAAAGGAAACAATCATTGTGGACATAGCTGTTCCCGGAGATAGTAATATACTGCAGAAAGAAACTGGAAAGTGTGAAAAGTACCAAGACCTAGCAAGAGAGATTCAAAGGATCTGGAAATCAAGGACAAAAGTGGTGCCAGTGGTTGTAGGTGCATTGGGTGCAGTGTCAAAGAAGCTGGTAGGCCACTTTGAGCAACTAGGAATTAAAAACCGAACAAGAACGATGCAAAAGTCGGCACTCCTCGGATCGGCACATATCCTCAGAAAGGTGCTGGAAGTCTGAGGTCTCGGGATGAGACTTGACTGGATATTTCTCCCCAGGGAAAATCCCTGTGCTAAATTTTACATAATAATAATAATAATAATAATAATAATAATAATAAAGGTCTTTATTGTTTTTTAAGCAAAGTTACATGCTAAAACCTTGAACACGTGCATTAAAAATAGCGGAAAGAATTACAAGGCTTAAAAAACTCCATGTGGAAGCATTGAATTTAACATTCAAGATCCACATTACATTAAATAGCTACTTTATATTTGAAAAAAAGCCTATTAAAAAAACTGTTTTTAAAACGCTTTCAACAGGGAACGATTTCACGAATAACGGTATAATATATTTTGTATAGTCACTTTGAATTAAATAAAATTGTCACTTGTCTTAAGCTTCTGAATTGTAAAAGGCTTTGCAAAAAAACGAGCTACATTTGACTTGCGAGAAATCGAGATATGGCAGAGCAAATTTAGAGTTTTCGGTTTTTCACTTCTTGGCTCCTTTAAAAAAATGTTCAATTTTTCTCCAAAGCCTCTGTGAAATTACACCAGTTTTATACCGGTAGACACCCTTCGGCAAAAAATTTTTATATTTTTATATTAAGTTATGAGTATCCGACGCCGGATAATAACGTATTCTTTGTAATGTTTCTAGAATCACTGTAGTCTACTACACAGCCTTTTTTAGTGTCGTCACGCAACGCTTCTCCCCACGAGAGGAATGTTGCGTGACGACACTAAAAACGGCTGTGTAGCAGACTAGAATCACTGCTGAAACTATAAAAAATGTATAGATCGTTTTGTAATTAACCCACATAGTCAGCAGCTGTGCAAAGTTCTTGGAACAAAAACAAAGTTACACGAGAAAAGATCGAGTTCAAACCCCACAGGACTTTTGGGGACGGGTGCACCAACATGACCACGATTTCATGGTTTTGGTAAACCAATGTGGCCGCGATGAACTCATGTGGAAACGGTCTGTAGTTTCTTGGTTCTTGGAAAATCAAACAAAAGATTTAGACGACATACAATAAGAACCAGGTTCTCACAGCCCAACAAATACTTTGAAAAATATACACATTTACAATATAATCATAGTGGATATTACAGAAGCACTGTCTACTTGAGGGCCTTTGTCTCAAGGAACATCCAGTTAGCGATCAAGAAAGTTTAACGTAAACATTTTTAGTCAAATTGAACACTGTTCAATAGTGAATTAGAATGTAATGTTCTTAACAGACTTATATAATATATTTATGCGTTAATCATGCACTTATTCACAATGGACTGAAGTCTAGATTACGCTCCTCCTTTACCGCACTATGAATCGGAGTCAGCGAAGGATTTGTTGTCAGCCAAGTCCGCACGCCTTCTCGGCTCGGTCAGACCTGGACTCTACCGTGAGCTGTGACGTCATCAAGAGAGACTCGTCACTGCCCCTTTCCCACACTTCGCGCGGACCACGGGGCAAGAGAGAAAGCTTAGGGACTAGGTTGATTTGTTGTTTAACGGAAAAATTTGACATTTAACGGTTTTTAAATTAACCGTAGTGAGAGAAAGGTCGCCACGAGTAGCCTAACACTAGATACTACTTTTGTTACGTCCGCTATCACGGGAGGCACTGTCATGTTGGAGGTTGGTGCAGCAGTCGGCATTTTCTGAACGGCATCCGCTGGACACCATGTAAATTCAGGCGGAACACGCCCCCACTCCGGACTCAATTTTCTCGCAGTTGGTCGGAGAACGTTCCTACCAAAGTAACCTGCAACGTTGCCCTCGGGGTAATATTTTATAAAAACAGCAAGTCTCTTGTCTTTAAGTTGGATCCAAGAAGCTCCAACTTGTGTTGAGTTTCTCCAAATAAGCTAAATGAAATCAAGAATACAGTACGTTCAGTTCAGCTACAGTTAAACGCTTTAATTTGTAAAAGGGACTAGCGATAACCGTTTGCCTAGAGAAAGCTGACAGTGCAAAAAATGAGGGCTCTAAATGGACTGGGAAAAGGGACGACTACTTAAAGAGCCCCTATAATCGTTTTACAATGCTCCTACCTGGGTAAATGTTTCTGCTTTCTTAACGAAGCCTGGATTGCTGTAGTTATAATGTTGCTCCTCATGATGGAACCACCAAATAGCGGTACTGCAGGACTCCTCAGGGTATGTTTCATACGGTGACAAATATAAGTTTCCAGGATAATCGCTTCTTTCTTCAATCCCGCCATTTTCTGTAACATTTTTCAACCAATCCTCTGCCTCATTTTGGAGCCTCTTTGACCAAGTAACATAGGGGACCTTAAGTAGATGAACAGGGTTGTTCTATAAATTGCACCTTAAAGCGTTTTTAAGTTCATCAATCAATTGATCAATCAATCACTCTTAATTTAATAAAGCAGGTTAAACTGCAGAGGAAGAAAGCGATGTTGCTGTTATAAACCAGCAGTAACTTAACTAATAAAACCGCCATACATCATTAGAAAAAAATTGATACATGAAAACAGTCGACGTTTCACGACACCACCACTAGTTTCCCCACGAAATGACGTCTGAGAAACAAGTATAGAAATTCCATACTGATGACGCATCACTACCCTGACCCGGCTGGTGCTTCTGATTGGTAGCGCCGGCAGGAAATTGGCCTCAACCCATCGAAAGCACTACCCTGATCTGGGTAGTGACGCGTCATCAGTATGGAATTTTTGCGCGCTTTTCAGAGACGTCATTTTGCGGGGAAACCAGTGGTGACGTTGCGAAATGTCGGTTGTTTTCTCAGGCTATTTTATAGTGAAAGCAAAAGTCTTCCTTAACTACTGTTTATTATCAAGAGCAGTTGGCCAAAAGAAGGTCGAGTTAACTAGTTGTTCCACTGTTTTGCAGTTTGAAACTTCGTGCGTTAAATAATGGCCTGATCAATCGTCTTTAACTAAATAAATAGTGCTAACGAGGATTTAAGGAAAAAAAAACAAATTAAAGCTATTTCTCTTCATATCACAGGAGAGAAACCTAGAGCTCGCGATATAGTTTTTCCTCAATAACTCTCTTACCACAAAACCAGCAGATAAGTTATGAGTATACTTAACACAAATACCAAAAGGTGAGGGGGAAATGAGCCAATCACTTCGTTTTGTAATAGAAAATCCTTATATTGTTTGACCTATTGGTAATCGTAAAAATGAATCACGATTGGGGAGATACTTTTTGTCAAGTTTTGCTTGCGTATGATGAAGAGATTAGTGAATATTTTACCTGGTGAAGGATGCGGAAATAATTGTGCCAGAAAAGGCACTGATCTTTAAATGGTATTGTGCTTGGAGCTATAAAATTGAAAAAAGTAATTACTCGGCAGGTGAAAAATGATGCAAGTCTCATTAATTTCATGATTACAAGCTTTGCAGAGCAGTGCCTTGCCTAGATACCGTAAATCCTGTATTCAACCACCCAGGGGATATATTTATTTCAAACACGTTTGGGGGGGGGGGGCTTATTTAATTTAGCAAAGTAGAAAAGCTCAAGTACAAGAAGTTGGTGGTCATGCAGCCGAGGATCAAAAACAAATCCAAACTTCCAGCACGTGAACAAACCATCCCGGATCAGTCCACTCATAAACGAATGGAGCGGGGGGGGGAAGGGCTTATTAACTTTCTTCCACTGAAAAGGGGGTTTATTATAGAGGGGGTTTAATTAAGAATTTACGGCATTTAAGTTAGGGGTGAATTAGAATTCCAAAATTCAACAAAAGAAAAATCTACTACACTTCAGATGCCATGCTGTAGGGACTTGTATTGATCCAAACAAGATTAACGCCAAAATTTTGATGGTATCATTAATGAAAGTAAAATGGAACCCGCCAGTAGAGTGTTTCACATGACGTCACGGCGGCCATATTGGTTTCCTAATGAAACGGCGGCCATGTTGGCGTCTCAAGCCAATCCTGTGGTAGTTGAACTCTTTTCTTATGCAAACGCTTTCTTTTGTTCCAATAAATTTGCAAAAATAAGGCCACGTGAGTGAAAACGCTCTATCCAACAAGCGTTGGTCCATGAAAGTCTAGTCTTATTATCCGGGTGGCTCATTTAACGAAGTTTTCAGAAAAGGAAATGGGAGAGGGTATTTTACAGTCACGCCAGGTCAAGCGTGTCACCATAGATTCTATCAATAAACGGATTATTTTAAAAACGAATCCTTTTTCTTTGCCTCAACAAATCTACCTTTCTACATGCAAAACTAGCAGTAATTTTTTTACTACAGCGCCTCGGTATTCGGTCAGACTGAAAAATCGTTCTAGGGAGAAAATGCCTTTAACGACATTTATATCATTCAAGAAAGGAATGAAAGTAGAATTGACTGGCTTGCGAATACAGCCGCTTCACTGTCCCCTGCCGCTAGGGACGCCGTTTCGCGGCGGGAGCATAGGCGGCTGTACTCGGAGGTTAGGTGGTTACCAACGGATTCAACTTAATCAATTAATTAATGAATGAATCACTGGGGGTACGCTTGACCCGGCTCGAATGCAAGTTTGGGGCGAAAGAATGAGGCCGTAGTATAGGGGAGGTCGTATAGACGGGGCGGTTGTAAGGCTAGTTTTGTCGCACATACTTGGTAAAGTGATTGGTCCCGAAGTTGTTGGCGGTATAACGAACTTCGCAGGGCATCTTGCGAACCCGGGTGGCTGATGCGGCCACTCTGGACCGAGCTTGGTCGCGATGGGTCGGAAGACATTATTTGCAAAGTAGCCAATGTAGTTGCCTCCAGGGTGATATTTAATTGAAATAACAAGTCTCTTGTCTTTACGTATTGCCCAAGCAGCTCCAATTTGTTTTGAGTTCCTCCAGACTACCTAAAAAGATGAAGGCAAAAATGACGCTGAAACTTTGTTTCTTTGATTGCAATAATATTCATACGGTTGTCTTTGCGGAATGCATGTACAGTGCTCCTGACGTACCGTTGTAAAGTGTCCCGCTGCTTGACTATAACCGGGTCTACTGTAATTATAATACTTTTCCTCCCAATGGAACCATTGTATAGCGTCACTACAATACTCCGCTGGGTAAACGTTAGGATGGGACAGGTATAAATTCCCAGGATTCTTTTGGCTATGATGAAACTTGTTGTTTTCAGCCAGATATTTGACCCAGTCCTCTGCCTGTTTCTGAAGGCCTGTTGACCACGTGACATTCCCAACCTGAAAAAATACAAAACTTTTTAGTCCAATGTTTTAGGGTCGGGATCGAGGGACTTTTTTTTTTTTTTCATTTATTTCATTTCTAATGGGGTGAAGATTATTCTTCGTTATAAAGAGGTCTGTCGTAAACTGTCCCGTATGCGTCCCGGGTTTATATAACTGCGTAAGGGGTTCTACGAGGGCTAATAAACGGAAGGGCCTATATCCGAGGGGCTTATGACCTTGAAAAAAAAGCGCTTCAAAACAAGCTATAAGAGTCCTGATCAAAATACGCTTTCAAAATTAACCACGTCGTAATAAATCGAATTCATTTCAATACACTTAGAGAGTGTATTAAATCCGGGGTGCTTATAATCGGTGGATGTATTTTTTTGTTAAAAGGAAGAAAGGCCTGAGACGAGGACGACTACGCGTACGAGATTTTCTCATTACTGAGTAGTGCTCTTGCGTGAACCAACGTCATTTTGGCAGGAAAACGTGATAGCCGTCGTCATCCTACTACGGGTGTCAGCGAGAATGTAGTAGTGGCTGGAATAAGTTATCAAATTTTAGAAGTTTAATCGTTTTGCAACCGGGAAAGGGCTAAACCCTCTCTAATAAAAATAACGGCACTAATTTTTCAGGTGAAAATACTACAATGAAGCTTACCCGGTTGAATATTTTTCGTCAACACGCGCAAAAACTTTAAGTTAAGTCTCGTACTGGTCATCGTCCTCGTCCTCATGATCAAATATAAAGTTCTTAGAATCCGCAAAATAAAGTCATGCATTTTTAGTCCCTACAAAGGTACCCAATTTTTCTACTCAAGTATGGCAATTCGCTTAGATAAACCTTGCTTAGGAAGAAAGAGTTTTGAAAATCATAGGCACCACCTTGGACGGCCCCTTCTCTAATGTGACAAGAGCTTAAAACTTGACAATGTAAATTTACCTGATGGAGAGTGCGGAAGTAGTTGTGCCAGTAAATACATTGTTCCTTAAATGACATTTTCCCTGGAAAAAGAGAGAGAATGTAAAATTTGTCCAGACCACAGCGTTTGCAGTCCCACCAGACTATGCCATCTTTAGGTGACATTTCACATCGTTGTCACCAAATGGTACTCGGCCGATAATGGGTTATTTTATATCAGAGTTTTGTGTAAGAGATTGTATGCAATTTCGAGTTTTCAAACCAAGTTCGTATACCTTACATAATCACTTTAAATTGATTATTTTTCTCATAGATTTGATTGGCCTTTAGACCATGAGACCAAGAGAGACCTAGAGACTATTGTATTTTAGGTGTTAAAAGTAAATTTCAATATGGAGATTTATTATCGATCAGAATTATCCACCTGGCCCCGGTTGTTCAAACGCTGGATAGCACTATCCACCGGATAAATCACTATCCAGCGGATAAGTATTAGGGAAATCAATTACGCTATCCGCTGGATAGTGATTTATCAAGTGGATAGCGCTATCCAACGTTTGAACAACCGGGCCCTGGGGATTTTTCGCTGGCTGGGCACCACTTCTTAGTCCTCCTTTTTCAGCTAGTCAATCACAAGGTACCAAACCGCCATGCTTAAAAGTGCGTTTTTACATGACGTCACGTCTGCCATGTTGGTGTCCTAAAACAATGAAACGGGGGCCATGTTGGTGTCCCAAACCAATCCTGTGGGAGTTGAACCTTTGTCTTATGTACTGAAAACTTTCTTTTGCTCCAAGAAATTTGCATACTGGCCACGAGACAACGCTCTATAGCAAGGGGCGCATTGGGACAAGACAAACCTGGATCTCACATCATTTAAAATGGTAATTTCATTTGTTTGTCTAGTCTCAGTGTAATGGCAGATCCAGGGGAGAGGCCCGGGTCCCCCCCCCCTCTTATTTTTAGAGCAAACTGAGGCCTGCAGGGCGGAAAAAAATGTTTTTTGAGACCAGGGCCCCCCTTATCTCAGGGTCTGGATGACCCGTCCCCCCCTTCCTCTCCCCCTGCGCCTTATCTGAAGGTCTGGTTCCGCAGGGCGTCTCTTGTTCTCCCGCACGGAGGTTATGTACCACGTGAATAACTAGCTGCAAGGGACCAATTACTGGTTTGCCCGTGACGTCACGGCAGCCATGAGCATTTCTCTCCCCTGGGAACTAAACTCTATTTTCATGTAAATTCTTCGAGGAAAATGCTATTGTATTAACCCTCAACATGGCCGCCTTGTCACGTGGTTGCAAACCAAGAATTGATAAGCAGGGCGCACTAGTGCACAATGTGCTCAGTAAGACCAATCAGTGAAAAAGAATTTGCATGAAAATGTTTTGTTGCGTTTAGAGGTATAAACGCATCTTGAGCGGTCTAAAGCAATGTCATTCCGCTCTTTAAAGCTGACGAAATAACACTTGTTGAAAACTGAGCGATGAAAATGCTTTGTGGGACAAAGCATGATATGCCACATTACTGTTTAATCGGTAAACAAAGCCGGTTTCGAAAAAAATAAAAGCAAACTGATAACTTAATCTAGCTTTCAAAAACATGTCATTCACCAGACTAGCTTTCCCATCAAGTGGAATGAACAAAACAGAAATTACGTAGTATATTTTTCACAATCCCAAATTCTCGGCCTAAGAGTGCATCGGTATCATATCACGGTGTAGGAGGTTTGCTGTAATCTACTGGCTCTAAAAATAATGTGATCACGCACATTTAGGCTATTAAATCTTTCAAGCATAAACTCTTATGGATCTTAGACTATTTTAGTATCAAAAATCGTGCCGCAAAGAATTTTGTTTACGAAACGTAGTACCTTAACGTATTCATTACGGAACTGTAGCGAAGTCACGTACTGAAATTCATTCCAATATTTAGGACAATCATGGCAAGGGCCAGTTTAAAATTTTCGGCAAAGAAAACAATTTCCTCCTATTCGCAAGGCGAAAAACATTACCCCGGCTGCCTCTTTACTCTGTATGCTAGATACGGGTTTTGTGTGACAAAGTCTTCAGTAAAAGTTTAATGGTTAATGGTGTGACAAAGCCTTCAGTAAAAGTTTAATGGCTTGAAATTACAATAAACTAGGATGTCATGAAATATCCAAAGACGCGGCTTCACTATCAGACGATGAGGAAGTTAAGATAATTTTTCCTGATCTTTACTAACAACTATAGCTAAATCGTTTGTTTCATATAGTGATTCTATTGTCATTTTTTCTGCGTGGTTACTTGTAGTGATGGTTATACAATAATTGTTACAACTACAAATCAGTGCCGGCAATGTGTTAAGAATTTCACGACTACACTATACTAACTGACAAGTTAGATGCAAAGCACAAGTGACCGAAATAGATTATTATATACGTACCTTCCGAACTCGTCAATAATACAGCTAATAGACTGACCAGGATTGTGATTTCCATGGCTAACCCGTAGCTGTTGTTTTACAGAAGAAATCAACCTGCGACTCTTTTACGTCCTCTATTTATGTTTCTGATAAATGCTATGAATGATCACTACCTAAGTTTAATTGCTACCGAAACTGGCTCCTGCCGGTCCTGTACGTCAAACCGCGAAGATTTACAGAGTGACGTAAGTGTTTTAGGCAACAGGCGATAACAAGGAAAACTGAAAGGCTGCCAGTGTTATTGGTAATAGGTGATAACGGAAAAAGCTATTTTCACGTTCCAGGGGTTTCGGGAATTTCTAGTCAAGTTCGCGTCGGCCATCGGCACTCGCTACACTTCCGCTTCTTCACCCACAACTCCGTCACTAGTATTTTTTTAAAAAAATTGGACTCGCTGAAACGCTCCTGCTTTCCATGGACCAAACGTGGTTAACGTTGAAGGTTTTAGAACAGAAATTGAACAAAATAAGGCTCAACTCAATCTTTTGATAAAACAATACAAACTCAGCCGATAAATTTATCCTCGACCATTTCGTCTAATAGTATTATTAAAGAGTCGGACGTTGCGTCTAGGTTTGGCTTAAAAAAGCCTCATGATAGCTATCAAGGTGTCTATCTATAACAAGATGGATTAATCTAGTCTGAAAAAAAAGAGCATTATGATCAGTGTTCTACCAATAATATAGCGATATGGCATCAATATGAATCCTCCTACGCGAATCCAACAATGAGGCCATGAGATAACGTTTGCGTTAAAAAAAAAAAAAACTCGTATATTATGACAAACCTCATGACACCAAAAATAGTCTGAATGTGGTAGCCGTGCCATAGATTATCATCTTAAGCTCTTATTTTTGGCGAGTCACATCATGGTGAAAAAAGCTTGAAGTTAACTAATCGTGCGTAAGAGTCACGCCAAGTATTACGTAAATGTCTTGCTGGATTAAAGTCAGCCTTAATTGGATAATGAAATTCATTCTACTAATCTGTGAAAGCCGACAAAGAAATGTTTCCTGTGTTTCGCTGACCAAAACGTCGGCAAATGAACTTCTTGGCAAAAAGGAAAAGTTCAGTTGACTTTTTCTACACTTTTGGGTTTTTTAAAGCCTTAGATCTAACACAGACGATATATTACTACTTTCAGACGCAATATATCAAACACCATGTGAGTGTTTCATCTGGATCCGACATCCGAACACCGTAAACATATCTATGCTATTCTGTAAATCCGAATCGAAATTAAGTCTATGGATGCATCATGTTGATGGAATAAGAAGTGGTTGAAAAAGAGGCACCGAGTTTGTTCTAGACCGACTTCGAGGTAAGTCGGTATCGTGTTAACACGATGTTTTGAGTAGCTTTTCAAATGTTTAAGAGTAACAATAAATTAAAACTAAAAGCTAAGATTATGATGATGGTCTATGGTATCGTTCTTCACAATAGTGATGTGTCTTCAGTCCTGAATTGTTGATGAGTGTAAGAAAGTACCGTAAAATTCCGGTACAAGAAATGATTCGCAACGAAGATTTTTGGCGCAACACTGCATTGCAACACTGTAGCGACATTGCTTCAAATTGTCGCACAGGCATTTGTCCCAAGTTGTTACCGTAAAAATCGTCACAAGACATTTCTAAAAATCCTAAAGGCGCGGGCAAAGATGAAAACCTGTCTAAGCATGCTCTTTTAACCCTGGACAAGATAAGAAAAATTGTAATTTGTTTACCCATAAAGCACAGAAGATCTAAGTGTCCGTGCGTTCCATATCGAATTGTAATTTGGAAGTGACGGTTTTTCAGGAGAGGGGAAAACCGGAGTACCCGGATGTGGCTTCGACGCCGGTACTCGAACTCCGGGGCCACATTGGTGGAAGGTGACTGCTCTCACCACTGCACAATCCTTGCTCCCCAAGTTAACACATGATTTTTCTTTTAGGACTGTACCCAGTTTCGCTAAAAAAGTTAACCTGATTCCGAAGAGGTTTAAGTCAAAGCAAGAAGTATAAAATGTCGATTGTTCTTAATCAAAATGTGCATATATGCAAACTGCTCAGGTCTTTTAAGACCAGAAAAGAAGGCATGATGGACAACGCATGAAATCTGACCGTAGCTCCAACTTTATTCTCTCTTCATATTTACAAACAAAACAATACTCTGTTACTTAGTGCAACTTATCTAAGCCAAAATATTTATCCAGTCATTTATATACTCAAAAGACAATCAAGAATCAATAGTAGGTTGAAAAATCTAGTATAAGATATGCAAGTGGATGATTGAACAAAACATGATGGTTTGAAAAGGCTCACGCAAACCGAGAAAGGCACATCACGTAGTTCCTATATACAGGACTTTCATGACGAAGATTATACAATAAAGCTCTACCCCCTCAACTGCTAGGATGACTGAATGATGTAGGCTTGTTAAGTGCTTCTGACTTTTGAGTCTGTGGATAAAATCTTGCCGTGTTACCATCAAATGAAATTTTTTTGGTAGTACTTTGACATGGTAATATTTCTTTATCAGCACCAGTTTACAAAATGAAACTTAGGATTTTTGCCCAGTTTGGACTTGATCTTCTCTTGGAGTATAAAAGGAATCCATTGTGTGGGTCCACCTCCATCCAAATATTGATCAAAGCAACATTTTCTATTTGTCTGCGTACCTTGGTGAGGGGCGTTGGATGTTGCCGAATCATGTGCGAAGTGTTAGTTTTGATCTTATATCGTTATTGCATCACTCAACATTACTTTAATTTGTTTTTCGTGTGTAGTGGACCAAGTTGGGACATGAAAAGCCTTCGCCACAATGTTGGCCAAGAGCAGTAGCTAGCAGTGGACACGCACAATTTTAGTCTAACTTCGTTTGCCTACATTCGCTACTTTGGCGCATTGCCCGTAATAAACCTTGCTTGCTCTCCACCTTTCCTAAGAGAAATTGTAGAGAATGCTTATGAATTTGAAGAGGGGGGGGAGGGGAACAAGGTGAATTCTATAAACTATTTTCGGCTTTATCAGCGCATCCAACACTGCCAACAAGCAGCCAACTTTGAGGAACCAACAATCGAATTTGCATGGGGACGGATCAGTCTGGGACAAATTTCAGGTGTATACACTTCAAAACAATAGCAAATGCCAACAGGTAAATACGGCGTCAACGTGCGGATGATGCAAAACAATTCACTAGGCTTATTAGCCTAACTAATTGCTATTTGGCTTTTTCCTTTTTTCGGCATTTTTCTATGACAACGTTTTTGCAATTGGGTGTATGTTACTATACCCTTTAGAGTGTAATAAGACAAATCTGGAGAATGCCACTCGGCTTCAGCAAGGGAAGACACAAATCGGATTTTCGTATATAAGAACTCCTTTAGTTAAAGTCTACCACGTAGAAAAATTTCGGAGAGGCAAAATGTCGTGTTCGGTTGGGAAATACAAATTCACTGTGGGTCATTTAGAAAGCGCCCTGACATTTTTATAAAGGTACTTTGAACAAGACCCAAAATGCACGGCAAGGCTTCGCTATGTTACGTTTCCGCTTATCTGGACCACGGCCAAAGGACAAACACTTCCCAAAGGTAAAGTTGTTAGTTTTTCAAAGTACAAGTATGCTGCTGATTTACATCTACGGAAACTGTGGACCTGTTTGCGCCATTGTCAACAAAAAAAAATGTTCAAAAGGGAAGCATTAACTTAAAAAAAACACTAGCTGCAAGCCTCCCGTGCTGGCTATTTTATACATCCTTGTCCGTGTCTACTTCACTGTAAATAAATTCTTACTAAATAAAAAGAACAATGCCTCAGAAGACTGACCACCCTGACAGCTACAATAGCTTGTCAAGTCAAGTTTGACTTAGAAAGGGGTCATGAGAAAAACAATTAAACCTCCCTCTTGTTCGGTTGGTCACAATTAACATAATGACGAGCAAAGCGTTCTCCCTGATCTCTTTGTCTTTTACTCCTTGAATGGCGTTCTGGCGTTGGGCAGCATCTAGGGAAATCGACTATCTCAGGTCTCCCTCGGACGTGGGTCAGACAAAGAGGTCAATCTCGAACATTTATTTTTTTCCCAATGATGCCACCGGCGTAAATGTCAGCTTCCAGAAAAATCATTAGAAAAAAAGATGTGAAACACAAGGAAAGATTAGATTTGAGTGGCCTTGCAGTTGACTCCCGGCATTTCATAGCGCACCCACCAAGGAATACGGTTTCGTGAACGTCAGCACGTACATTAAGAGGAGCTCATAAGGCAAGGATCGAGTGAACAAATTGCCGAGGAGTATGTTTGGCTGACTCATGTACGTCAAGAACAGTTCAGTGACGAGGCTTTTTTCAAAACGATGGCCGTCAAAAATTTTGGCTCGCAAATATAACCAATGCTTAATTATAATTGCACGGGCAGTTGAGCAAATGTCGGCTTTTTGTGATACATTCAAATTTCAAAGATATTATCAATAGCACCAGCTGAAGTGCCAGGGGTTATTAACTCGAGCCTTAACTTAACCATTTCCATAACCGTTCGTTCAGTGTCCGTCTGCCTGAATCGGAAAGCGAAGACGTCGATCGTATTCGGGGCTCTTGGCATCGTTCTCCATCAACTTCTAACTTAGGTCCTTAGCAAATACCTACTGCCGGCTAATGACCTTAGCTAAAAAATTAATCAATTAAAGTAAAGTTTGAAGTGAATCGGAGTTTCAAGGAAACAGAACGATACCATTTTGTTAAAAGCCTTTGTAATGATTTCCGAGCTAATCGGAAAAGAATGCTACCGAGCTTTCGTTGACAAACCAAGAAACGTATATAAACATCAAATACACTGTGCATCTGTAATTATTCCATAGAAAACTATTTTTTAAAGTTTTGCAATTATTTGTTGAACTTTCATATGGAGCCCAACAATCTCAAAGGATCGCATTTGTATTATTAGTGCAGGTAGTGGATATGTCAATGACTCCATGATAAAAGACCTATTTATTTAATTTGTGATGAGAAATTTGTGTATACTTTCCTGACCATTAAGTTTTCGCAAAGGTCCAAATCGAACAACCGGCATCTAGATATTTAGTAATCAGTGACGGTAATGGCAAACCAGGACTAGCAATCACCAGACGAAACTGAAAATTTGGCTAGCACGAAAGAAATTGACTGCTTTTGAAGTCGCATAGTGATAAAAATCTGTGGAGCTGTTTAAATAAAGTTCAATGTATAAGCACACACAGCACAAATAACAAAGAAATGAGTCAGTCATACCTTTACAATTTGATAGGATAACAGCAAAGACAACTGCCATGCTTCCGGTCTTCATGATTGGGCGGTAGAACAGCGACTGCACCATTTACCAGTAACGTCTGTTTTAGTATGCTTTGATTCTGCCCAGTATCTCTGATCGGAGTTCAAGGACCTTTAACTGATGCGTTATGCATATGTTAACATGTAGCTACATGTGACATGAAATATATGACGCTTATAACATGTAATAGATATTCAATCACTTCTCACTGACCGAGATGGTGTCTTTAAAAAAAAAACATATCTCCCCTTAGATCATTTCTCCCTATCTGACTGTTAAATAGCACTTAACTAAATTTCTTAACGGGATTTAAAACCAATTAAGAGTCTTACGAGTGATTTTATTAGTGTTATCATTTGAATCATGCGCAATACTTAAATAACCTGAGGAGTGCTAATCATGAAAGTATGCGTTAATCCCGTCACTTACATATTATATTGGGTGAATACATGGGGTCATATATAGGTAGGTCAAGTGAATGCCGATACAATCTAGAATTACCCCGCTCGAATGCTAAAGTGATAACGATCTTGTTATCAATTGCACGTTACTTCTATTACTATAGTTGAAAATGTGTACATCGCGGTCGTCTTATCAAAGCCAATTCCACTACTGTTCTGTTGAAGGGAATCTTTACACAACATATTGGACTTCAAGTGACGTGACGGCGTGATTGTTTCCTTTTGTCGATAAGGTGAAGTAGCTGATTTTTCAAATCCACTAAACGCCCAGCTAGACAATTACATGTACCTCAATCTCTGAGGGAAGGGTCGGAAAGACCGCGTTCACACTTCTTTTTACTTTTTTTCAGCCTACTGGGCTGTGGCAATGGTAATGGTAATGTCGCGGATAAGAGGAAAAAAGACGCGTCCTCTTTATCTTGACAGTAACACAGATGCAAGTATACAAAGAGTGCATGGCTACCGTTTAATATCTGTCCAATTGAAATAAGGTGTAGGTGGACCATGCTACGAGGGAACTTCCCCTAATCTTGTCTTTCTTTTATTTCTTAAGTAAAATCAGGTGTGAAAAAGCCCCAACGATTTTTTAATTTTACCTTTTGTAATTACTTGCTCAACATAATTATTATTATTATTATTATTATTATTATTATTACTATTACTATTACTATTTTTTTTATCAACTTTTTGATCCTTTTTATAATTGTTATTAGTAGTCTTTAGATAGTCATTTTACAACAATTTTCTTTCGTAGACAAGAAAAATGTACATAGGGTATATATTTTAATATTTCATATTCTTGAATCTGTAAATAGTCTATTTTTTTTTTTTTAAATCTATGAATAAAGTTTTGTTTTTACTATTACTATTACTATTATTATTATTATCATTATTATTATTATTATTACTATTACTATTACTATTATTATCCACATTAAACACAGCTTCTGGATGGCTCGGAGCTTTTAAGAAAAAAATTAATTATAAAAAGACTCAGTTTTTTTAAATGTAACTCGTTATGTAGATTATTTATATTTTTTGTCTTGTTCTCTTCCACTTACTAGTTTTTTTCTCCATTTTATGTAGCTTTCCTCTTATCGACTTTGTAACATTAGATATGTGTTAAGTTTTTATCTAGTAATCAATAAAGAATTTATATTATTATAATTTCCGCATTCATTCCAATGAGCACCCAACCTAGAATTAGCGCCCGCCTCGACAAAGCGCCCATCCTAAAGGGTGAAAAAGGTAATAAGCGCCAAGTCTCGAATAATCGGCGCCCACCCCCACCCCATCCCCCTCTCACTCATCACTCAAAGTCAAATAAGCGCACACCGTCAACCCAACCCCCCTCCCCCTCCTATCCCAAAAAATTGAATACAGTAAGTACTAATAAGAGACTTCCCCGAAGACAGGGTTTTTTACGGAGTATTTTACAGAGACAGGACCCTAGGCTTCTGACAGAGACCTTCCTCTGTTACATCTTCACGATTTGTTAGTGCCAGGGCGGTCAATCGAATAAATACGGTATTAATAATCATTATCAGCATTAATAAAGTGTATACTTATTTAATCAATGAATTATTTGTTATTCTTTTATTTACTCGGCAGTAGAATCATGGCGCTTATTCTACTGGGGTCGAGCTAATACTTGAAACAAGTATTTTTAAATCAAATTTAACGGCGTTGAGAATTCCTTACAGGCTGGCAGAAGGCAAACCAGTTGGCTGTTTACAAGGGTAATCAGGACTAACAGCAGCCGTGGCTCTGACCGGATTTCAAGTGACGGGGATGGTCAAATGGGGCAAAAATCAAAACCCAGAAAAATCCCCAGGGCTTCCAACAAAACCTAAAAATCCCTGGACCAAAAATTAACCCCTGAAAAAATTCCATGCCGTATTTCCGAGCCTTAAAAATTTCCAGAAAACATTAAATGATATAACACGAAAAGAAAAGTTTTTAAAAACATGTTTGGTCGACTTTATTCGCAGAACTACGCGGCCGGGATACGCGGGCACCCAAAAAAATCCCGGAATAGAAAATTTAAACTCGAAAAAATCCTTCGATCATCCGCGTCAGGTCCGGTCACTTGAAATCCAGGGTCCCGGGGGGGGGGGGTTCTCCCTTATATAAGCCATATAGGTGTGTGTGTGCCGCCCTCATCAGGTATGGTTTTTGCTCCGTTTTGGTCTGAAAACGGGTATACCCTTTGCGCATTTGGTCTGAAATTGGGTATTGTTTTCGAGGGAACTACGGAGTGTATGAATGTATTTATCGTTTCAATTCCAAATGAGTAAGAAAGAAAGAGAAATATGCGAATTCGAAATGGAGTGAATAATTTTTTTGTTTGCGCTCTAATCTGGGTAATCATGACATAATTTCTGCCTAAAGGCCAGATCTGACAACGGGTATGGATTTTAGAGGTCTTGTCTGAAAACGGGTGTGGAAAATTACATTTTTTCGGTCTGAAATCGGGTGAGGATTTGAAGAACCGGGTGGCACTCCCCCACCAAGAATTCCCAGGTGTACCCCTCCTCCGGGCAAATTGGCCCCCAAAGCTTCTTCAAAAGCTGTTCATTTGCAAATTTTCTATCTGCAGAGCACAATTTTAAATAAACCAACACAAATCAACAGTTGTGTTTTGTGTATGTTAAAACAAATTGCGTCTAATCGATTTGCTAATCCCTTGAATCTTGAATGTTTGCGTAACTGCGGGCATGGTTCTGTGACCTAGTTGTCGCCCCGCGCCACAAAGACTATAAGGTGCTTTTTTTCACGACCGGCACTTAAAAATAGTGACAGTTGTAATCTTACCTTTAATTAGTCTTCGTGCAAAGTCGAAAAAGTGGCTTCAGCTCAGACAAAATAGGTTCCACGCGTCGACAGAATGCTACCAACCGGCGCTTGGTACGGATTGCAAACTCTGTCACGCCACATCGTTCTTGTCACGCACGTATCGGTGATTTTCACGGGATTTTCAAGTGATTTTCCGAGGTTTCACAACTTCGATCCTCTGCTTACACGCTTGTCGTCGTCTTCCTATGATATTTAGTATTAGTAGCATTAGAAAAAATCGATAACTTTATTTTCATATCAATTTAAAAAGTTAAAAAGTTACTTTGTTTAGACTGCTATTTTGAACAATTAGAGAGCTTACGTAACTTCCGGCCGAGGTAAAATTTCAGCGGCGTTCTTTGAAAAACGTCATTGTATGGTGCTAGAAGAAACCTCGTGGTGTAAATGCACTATTGGAGGAAATTCAACTTGAAATAAAGGGAAAATGGACAAGAGGCCTGCCTTCAATGGTGTCACAGAATACCACAAGAAAGGTAACTAAAGTTAACATAGAGAGATATCTTGTGCAGGAACACTTCCCCTAAATTCTATCTACTTTTATTTTCAATATTATGAGATCTTATGACGATGTATGCTTTCGTATATGTCACCCACGTGCCCCAGGAAATTTCTGAAAAAATGCCACTAGATCTCCCGACTAATTAAACGAAACGCTTTATAGTTGAGTTCTTCTTTAAAAGTCTGAATAATACTGTTCCAAATTTGATGGTTAGTCGTGTTTATAGGGACAGACGGCATCTGTGCGTCCCGTCCTAAACATTTCAGCAGTGGTGACCAGTCATTTACAGCTGCATTTATGACCAACAAGCACACATTTAGAGCTTTATTTCCTTCAGTAATATGCGTTATTTAAACAGGCCCTAGTAATAAAAACTGTTTCTTGATTGGCGTCGATTGTCCTTGTTCATCCCAATATATTTTTTTTATAGAAGCTTTTCTTTATCCTATTTAGATCAACCACGAGACACTCAAACATCCCACCGGGGTAAAATTACAAACTAATTAATAACATACAACTTCTCAGTTTGACACCTTATTATAGATACTGGATACAGAGTGGCCAGCCTTAATATTTTTGCGGGAGTATTACTTTGTGGGTGGGAGACCTTTTGGATTTTGCCGGAACTGATTTTTGCGCAAGGTTGAATCTGTTTTCTCGCCGTTTGGAAAGTTTTTGGCAATTTTTTAAAGAAATAACCTTGAACTTTCATAGGCTTGTTTAAACCACAGTACAGGCAAAATAGCCATCTAAAATAAAACACTCTTGTCGTATACAGTTTGGTGTCGCTGCTGGAGTCACCTTTGATATGAAAATCTCACCATCACATGTGTAAAATTATCTATAAATTTCGACCGCAAATACATTTTTTGCCGATTAAATTTTGGCGGCAGTTTTACTTTGTGAGAATTTTTTTGGTTTTTTATGATGGTACTAAAATAGCAGAAATGGAACCCGCACAAATTAAGTGCCACGCGGTAGGCACTTTTCTACCAAGGGAACTAATTCCACAAATAAAAAACCTACCCCTCGCGCAGTTTCGGTACCCCCTACTCGGCTGAAGATAAGCACGAGCATTGGAGAAACGTCATATGAGACCACTCGTTGTCTAACATGTTTCTTCTGAACAAAAACCTTTTTCGTGTACTGCACGTGATAGAATGTCGTAAAAGTGAAATGACATTTTGCAGCTGCTGTGTTACTTAGTTCTTCAATCACAGCTTAGGCCCCGACCATACATATCCTTTTGGAGATTTTTTGCTCCGGTTCATGGCCTAACTAGACTACGAGCAGTATCTCTTTTTTCTTGGTCGATCGAGCTAGTCTGCGAAAACATCCGTTTCTCCTCGCTCTTCGCCGCTGGGGTTCGCAGGCTACCTTTGAGTAAAACGTGCGAGACACTCAAATGACCACGCGTGTGACTGAGGGCGCAAGACGGGAGAGGCACGTTTGTCGCGTCTCTCGACGCTCGCGCGCGTGCACTCCCCTCACTAAATCTGAGGAAAAAGAGAGACTGCTCGCAGTCTATGGCCTAACGTCCGCACATATCCGGTGAAAATGGTCACCGAAAACGCATCTTTTCAAAACCCCCTTCAAAGCTGAGATTTTTGAAAACGCCGTTTTGCTGTGCGCGTGTGGATGGAAGTAAACGAAGGTTTTTGTAAACGATTACGTCGCAGTGTTTGATACTAGTACAGTAAATACGCATGCTCCGATAAATATAGCAACGTTTTCAGCCTTTTTGTGTGCGTGGGCAAAAACGATTAGATTTTTTAAAACCGGAGGAAACAATCAGTCTCCATTTTAAAACAAACACGGAACATTTGGACGGAACCCTAGTTGTGAAGAATGGAAAATCACTAAAATAACCAATATTAAGACTAAAATTAAGAAAACTAGAGGTAATCATTGATTGCGGATCCGCGTTCGTCACTTACGGAAACGAAAACGAGTCGAAAGGAGTCCAGTTTCCCGGCCGAGAAGCACCTGATAAAATTAATAGGGGTGGCTAATCGGCAGTCGCCCGTGATAGCTCGAAAATTTCTGCCTTCGTGCCACAGGAACACCAGATTAGGGTGCGTTCTGACGAACGCGATAAGAATATAATAATTTACTAGAATAATATTCCGGTGTGGTTATTTGTCTTTCAAACTTCTGATTCTCTGGACGTAATCCTGTGGTGTTCCCAATCAAATGAAACCTCTTCGGTAGAACTTTTGTAAAAACTAATTCGTTCTTCGTAGGGTTTAAGAGCTACGTTATTATATTATTTTTCATTTGATTGATTGATTTCATATATATACATATTTAGGCCCATTTAGTGCCGAACCTGAAAATGTTACCCACGCGCCCATAGTTAAAGGGAGCAAAGCCGCATCAGGAAATTTAAGAAGAACCACGCCCAAGCCCAAACAAGACGGGCAGGGATACCGTCGCAAAAGGACTGCATTCAGCATACGACAGCTGCAGAAACTAGAGACAGCCTTCCGGTGGAACATGTACCCTGGCGTAAATGTGCGCGAGTCGCTTGCCACAGAACTGGGAATCAGCGAGGCATGTGTACAGGTAAGGCGTCGTCGATTTCTTACTTTAAAGGGGATATGTCATGCTATTTGTCACCTTTCCGAATAGATAAAACTTTTTTTGCATCAATTGAATTCCATAAATATGATATATAGGCACTGAAACTGTTCCCTTTCTTCTGTTGCAATGAATGGAAAGGATGGACATGGATTAAAACTTGAAAAAGTTGGGCCAACCTTTTCAGGTTTTAATGCTATGCCCGCAAAATTATCAAAAAAATTTATCTTGTTACTGCTTTCCGATAAAATCTATGTGATATTTTCTTCCTAACGCTACAGGAACATTTTTCGTATGGGTAAAAGCACCAAGTTATGACTTGAGCACAGAATTGACCTCAAAAGAGCAAAGTATCCTCATGTCATAACCCCTGCAAGGTAGTCACCTCTTGATTGAAGCTTGTTTTTCGTGGTTTACAGAGTTCAGTATATATGGTAGTTTATTCGTATGTTCACACGTTTGGAATACAGTCACAAACGCGGTTAAGTTAAAGCCCTCTTGCAGCACTATGATCAGTAGTTTTAGTATGAACTGTCTCACTGTCCTGCACCGACTCATCCTGTATCATGTGATAAACAGAACCACAGAAAGTACTGTGCGGCCCCTTTGATTAATCGTCAACAAAAGAAGCACTTTGTACGATGTAATAAACGCATTGTTCTCATAGCTTTCTGATTGCAAATTCAGGGCTTTTTCCACATAATTTTTCCCAGTACAATTTAATTTTCTAGACTCAACGTTATCAAATCAGAGATCAAAACTAGGAACCTTGTCAAACGCAGGACTAAAGCTTTTCCTACGATCCACTGCAAACGTACACTAATTACAGTATAATGAAGACGTAGGAGGAATCTGAAATTGCTTATTATGTAATTGAACTAAACATGTTTTGGCTTTTAGAAATTGAGCCCTCAATACTCCCGCCTTTTTTCCATTTCTCCAGACTTTTTCTCTTTTGTTCAAACCTCTTCTAAGTCTTGAAAACTAGTTTGCAAATTTTAAGACTTTTTCAAGAATTCACGACTCCGTCAAACCCTTTAAAAGTACGGCTCAATAGCTTCGCAATTCTATTTTGAAAGTAACACTTTAGAATTCCATTTACGTAAGAACCACATTATGAGTTCGGAGGTTTCTAAAAAAAATTATGAGAATTCTGCAGCGTCCAAAGCTCTCCCTTGCCCTCTACAGGTATGGTTTCAGAATCGTCGATCCAAATGGCGAAAGCGAGAATGCAGCTATCCTCCTATTCAGAACAAGAAGCAATTGCAACTAGGATTGGCTTCAGGAAGTTTTAACACCTACAACGCTAATGAACGTGACTGGCCGCTTTCACAGGTTCAAACTTATTGCTCGTGTCAATTTAAGTCGGCAGCCGGTGGAATGCTCACGGTACCAACCATGGCACTGATGCCTACGAGCTCTGGGGTCAGTAATCACCTTATCACTTGTGCTTCTTTATGTTCTACTCATGTTCCGTCAGTTAGCAGAGGGCATGAACTGGTTCGCCAGTATAAACGTGAAGAAGAGGATCCAACATACGCTGATCACAGAGAATCCGTCGTAGATGTCAAGCAAGCTACTTTTCAAAGGGATCGTTCTGTAGACGAGCTTATCGGTGCAAACGGGCTTCTGTGTATGAGAGGGGGCGTCTTGCCTTCATTTATGTCGAATGACAAACCTCTTTAATTATCATTTAATAGTGGATTTTATCCAGTTAAAGGCAACCATTTGCTGCACAGAAGGGTGAATAGTAGCTTGGGCTAAACCTTTTTGAAGAAAGACAATCGCTTTACTGTGAGACTACCTCTTAACTCCGCAAGACATGGACTAATCTGCCAGAGGTGTTTTCACTAAGTGTCGAAAATGGTTTCGGTCACTTTAGTTTTGGATTTCTATGATTTGTGTTTGGCGAATAACATCGCAACATCTTGATTCTTGAACAATATAGCAAATAACTGGCACGAATGATTTTTCCAGTGCTTCCAGTTACAAGCTATACGCATTTTCCTCAAGTTTTATTTAGTGCATTGCCAAGTCCCTGTACAGCATCTTCCCAGGCCTTCTCGGCCAATGCATTATGCTCGGACCACGTGACAGAACACGCATAATTCGTGCGAATAATGACGCCTGGGGACTAGGCAAATTGGTGTGTACAAAAACGCATATCATACATGATTTTTCACTTACTAACTTGCTTTATGATTGACAAGAGCCACTGACTACCCTTGAGCTACCACGTACGTTGATGCTTGTTAAGTACAAACGCATTAAAATATTTGAATAAATTCAACAAATAAACGTTAGACTGTTCCCAGTCCCCGGTTTTTCCGTGAAGATCTTTGGGATCAAGCGCCTACAGTTACGGGCAGCCACCTTGGCCCCCGAGGGCGGGCGTCGGGTTTCAGTTTAGCGGTGGGGCAAGGAAGCGAGATCTCGCCTCCATGACCATCCCTTACCGCCTTAGTGGATTTGATACTCTTCAACTCCAAAAAAGTTCGAACAAGATGGAGTAATGACGACGAAGTTTAAAACGGCTTGAAGTCACTCCCTTTTTAAGTGACGTTTTCTATGCGTTCGCCGTCCTAGTTGCGTAAGCTCCCAGAGAGCGAAGCACAACGTCGACGACAACAAGAACGTCAAAAAAAGAATGAAATAGATTAATGAGAAAAACAATAATTCTTATTGGTACATTTCTTTACCGTCACGGCACGAATCACCACAACTATGAAGTGAAATTTCCTAATTTCATGTTTTTGGAGGACAATAACACAAGAAGACGATTTTTGATTTCTTTTTTCTGAACTCGGATACGGTCCCTAAAGGTGACGTTACACGAGACGATTCGCAACGACGATTTTTAGCGCAGCACATCGTTGCAACGTTGGAACAATGTTGCAAACATTCGAAACAACGTCGCAACCAAGTTGCAACGCTGGGTTGCACTAAAAAATCGTCGTTGTGAATCGCCCGGCTTAACACTGATCAACTTAAGAATTCAACTTCAGAATAATTATCTTGTGATGTTTTGCAAATTAAACCGCAAAATGGAATAATCACTGCGATGTTTGGAATAAGGCAAAGTAACTTGGTCAGGCCGGGCAGTGGTTACTTAGGCTCCTTATAAGGGACATTAGGATCCAACGACGCGACGGAAATGAGAACGTCGCTTAAAAAGTGAATTTGCATTCTTTCAGTCTTTATCGCAATAATTCCTAATCACTCACTTTGTCAAATGTAGGCCAACCCTCCTGGAGTTGAATTCCTAAGGACCATATCCAAGTGCAGAAAGAGAAACAAAATTTCGACGTTGCTTGTTAAAGTACTCCATAAAACGCGAATAGGCATTTTCACGTCGTGGTCGTGCAAAAACGGGCAAAGAAGTGTACAAAAAAGCGTGATGCACGTGCAAAGTCCTTGTTTTGCTTATAAAACGTATTGTTTTTTTGACGTCCTCGTTGCCGTCCGCGTCGTTGGATCTTAAAGTCCCTATTATTAACAGCGTCACGCATCATGAAACATATCTGTATGGAGACATTACTTGCTAGATACTAGACGTCTCAATACAGTTTCTCCGAGGCCATACCGGTATTGTTCAACCGCCTTTACGTTATTTTACCCTTGTCCGATCGCTACAAAACTTTCACCAGTGATTGACTATGAATTGAAGTTTCTCAAAATGCAGTTTTACTTAAAATCGGTATCACTATGACAGCAATAAACAAAAAACTTTGAAATCGATTAAAGCCGAATTTTGTGTTATCTAGACCTGCTACTGAAACTCCGACACAAGGAACTTGAAGTGCAGTGTTTAGCAAATAACCTCCGCGAGAAGTAAAAAATCACATCTGTTTGAATTCAAATAAAGCGTAAATATATTTCAAACCATATATTCAGAATGCTGCTCAATGTCGTCTTTCGCTACTTGGAAATTCGTGAAAACTGGCCTGTTTTCTCACCACCTGACAAGTGCAACTTTACTCTAAATTTTGACTTTTAGCGCTTTCCTGTATATCTCTGGAACGGCTCGACAGAATTCTTTTTTTAACCTCATCAAATAACCTTCATGATATATGTAAATATATCATTAATCTTTCATTAAGATTGATTCACTGCAACACCTTGAAATTTCAAGACAAACCCAGCCTACCAACGGGCCAAAATCCGCGTTACACCATTCACTATTTTGACGTTATGCTAATTTTTCGAAATTATTGCAGACCATGCATACTTCCTTGACTAGTACATTTCAGTTTGAATTTTATTGCATCTTTTGAAGGTAAAACACGGACAATATTCACACTGAAACGTACTAGTCATGGAGTTTTGTTACCATAGTAATATCGATTTTACTTAAAACCACATTTTGACAAACATCAATCCAGAGTCAGATAGCGGTGAAAATTTCATAGCGATCGGACAAGGATAAAATCACTTCGGTGTCTCGTTTTCGGAGATATTTAAATTTTGCATTGAACTTACCAGGGCCAGCCTAAATTCTAAGAGGGGGAAACGTTATCATATTTTATTATTATTATTAATTTTTTTTAACCAAAATAAGATAGGTATATTCTGCCACTCCTTAAGCAGATAGCATGAATGTTCGAGACCGGTAGTATTAAGTGAGGGCGGAGAAGATACCCTGTATTGATATCAAACGGGAAAAACTTTTAAAAGGCCTTTTTTAACGCCCCTTTTAAAAAACATGCAAAAATAACTTAAAGGAGTCGTAAATCCGTACAGCTCATGTTTATTTTTCTCTTGGTTTTGTTTTTTATTTTCCAACGGAACTTTTTCCTTGCACTGTTTTTTCCAAAAAAAGCAACTTAAAACGTCTTAATGGATATTACTTCAAGTAGAGGATGTGTTTTAAAGACCTTTGCTCTGGAACCGGTTGTTTTAGCTTCGTCTCAAAATACGATCATCATTGTAAATCCGAGTTCATCACAAATTTAAACCGCACACTGTCTACTGTTCGGAAACATTTGAGTTTTGATAAAAGATTTTTACTGTGCGTGGGAATTGAACATACCGCGTTGGAAATTGTCTTGTTATCAGTTATAAGCTGTCCGTCATTTCCAACTTTTACAACTATTGTTCGTTAAATCGACCACTTACGAGATGCAGAGTACAAAAATATTGAGCCTTGTCTCAGTTTATGATAGTGATTTACGATAAAAGGTTTTTGTTCTATAAATCTGAAGATTGCCATTGAATCATTTGATGAAAAATCATCGCTACAGGATCTCCAAGATTAATGTTACTTGAGCTGAAGCTGCTTCTTATGAAAAAAAAAGGCCACCGTAGCTAAGTGTCAAAAAAAGATGAAAAAGACCGAAATAAACAAAAGCGATCAATGATGACTAAATTATATTGCTTTTTGAGTTTTATTTATTGTTCATAAAAGTCTTAAATTAGCAGCTGCTACAGCTGGAAAAGGCTTTGATTAAAGTGTACGTAATAAGAAACTTTCAATTTCACAAACTTGCTGTTTCTTTCAGAAGAGGCATTTTTCAGTCATGTGCGTCAGTAGCATATTTGTTCGCTGGCGGTGTGTTGATGAAAAAAATGCCTTTGTTCATTTTTTACTGACTGTGTACCTGAACAAACTGGTCTTAAGTGTTTATGACTAGCAAGCATTAATTTTCTCTTGGAATCGTGAAATTATGTCATGAAATTAAGTCCTGTTTCCCGCGTTTTCGCATAGCATGTACTCGTCGTTGAGTATAATCGACCGCCGTTTGCGTAAATTACTAGCGGTTAGACAGTTAGGCCTCGTTCAGACGCTGTACTTTTCATGTTCCAAACCTAACTGAATAACTGAGCGACACTGGCGCGACATCTGATTCAGACGGCGCATCGTGTGTCGCACCAAGTTAAGTTGGACAGACTCTATACTGTTTAGCCAGAGAAAACAGCCGACATTTGGCGACGTTACCACTGGTTTCCCCGCCAAATGACGTCTGAGAGACGAGCGCAGAAATTCCATACTGAAAACGCTTCACTAGCCAGAAATGAGGGGTGCTTCTGATTGGTTGAATCAAGTTTCCCACGAGGCACGACCAACCAGAACCACTACCCAGATCTGGGTAGTGACGTGTCATCAGTATGGAATTTCTGCGTTCGTTTCTCAGACGTCATTTCGGGAGGAAACCAGTGTTGGCGTTGCGAAATGTCGGCTGTTTTCTCAGGCTATGAACTGTTAAGTTGAACAAAACTTGAGATGCGGTAGACTATCTATAGTTGCCCTTCTTGTAGAGGAGTCGGAGAGTCGAGGACCCAATACTGGGCATATATTACAAAGCGCATGCCCTGTAAGGGATGCTACTGTATTTACATTGTTTCAGTGCTTTCGTCTGAACGGGCGAAAACGCTTGAACGTCGGGAGATTTAGGCCTGGGCCATTTAACGTCGAACTTTTCATGAGACGAAATTTGTATGATTTAGGCCCAAATTAGAGTTTGGTTCGTCTCATGAAAAGTTCGACATTTAGCCCAGGCCTTACAGACCTGTCTGTGGTGGTTAAGTTACTTTTATCAATTCAGTGAACTAAGACAAATTTTAGAATGAAATTGATCCTTCAAAAGAATACGGAATAAATTACACTGAACAAAATACCCTGACAACATTCTTCAAATTGCCGTTTGGCGGCAACCGATTACGTTTGGCTAGTGCATCTTTGCATCATCTTCTTTCTTTTTTTGGCATGAACGGCAGGTCCAAAAGCTGATTTCCAGAAAAATACCGGCAATAGTAATCTTTCAGGCTGTGCTTCGCGGGGAGTAATTCGGGCCTTCGCTGTTAAACGGGACAATAGAATTCAGAGTAAGTGTACGAGGCTTGCGCTGTGGAAGCTTGCTGTGTTCTGTGATTTTAATGTTTAAAAAGAGTGTTTCGCACCCTACTTTTTTTCGTCCATAGGAGACAGACCTCTTAACCCTTTAAGCCTCAATACCAACTTGCAAATTCTCCAAAGGGGTCTCCAAACATTTCCTTGATAAATTAGTTGAGAGAATTTGACAAAATTAAAAAGATGAAAAACACTTTTCCTTTGTTGACCATTTCAATAATTCTTATAGCCTTTCTATTGATTGTGTAGTGATATTGTTAAGGAGAAAATTGATGTTGGTCAATCTTGGAGCGTAAAGGGTAAATGGCAAAAGACATAGGTTTCTGAAAGAACAACTGAACCGTAATCCAAAAGTCATGTTTACATGCAGCACTACATTCTCAAATGGCAATTTAAAGAATATTATGGTATTTTCCGTATTGCCGGGCTACTCATTTAATCTACAGCAGGTAACTCATCAATAATACAGAGATTTTCATTTGTCACTTTTAGTGCGTAGATTGATATGAAAAACATGCGTTTGCTCTTGCGAGTATTGTTTTTAGAGGACGAAAATTTCAAAAAAAAGACCAACTAGTCTAAGTGTTAGAGAAACGGCCTTAAAAGGCCAAAAAGGTATATTTTTTGAAAAATGTCATCGTTTTAGCAAGAGTTGACTCCTCAAAAATTATCAGCAGATAGAAATAGGGTGATTTGCAAGATAATTATTATTGAACCCGTTTATGCAATGCAAGACTAATGAAATGACTTGTCATCCTACGTTTTGTATCTTTTGAATGGCGAGATCCTTGGTGTTACCATTCAAATGAACTGCCTTTTTTAGGTGAACTTTGCACGGTATTAATTACACAAAGGGAGATTTTGTAGGAATTTTAACTTTGGCGATTGTTGGAAGTAAAATGTTCTTGTTGTTGGTTTATTTATTTATTTTTTTTCAAAAAAAAAAACAAGCCTTTGTGGGGCTTAATAAGACGATTTGTGCGTACAGTTGAATCAAATTAAATTTAAAAAAAGCTCATTAGAAGCTACATCTTAACAAGCCAACAAAACCTGTCACATCAGATCGAACGAGAGCTCAAGTCCGAAACGCAACTTATATAAGTGAGACACGTTCGACAGCTGTTTTATCACTAATTTCGAAGTTAGGCTGCTTACCATTGTTACTTAATTACAGAACGAGATATTTCCAAGGTTATTGCCGATAACGAGAAACATGGTTGGGAGAATAAAACTCTCTAAAGAAAAAAATACTCTCAGGTTATCTTGATCATCTGTCATGATTTTCACAGGATTCAGAGGTAAAATATTTCCACAAGTTTAGGCTTTCTGATAAATTGTCTCCGCCTGATTGTCTTTGCGAGGAACTCCACAAAATTGAAAAGCTGAATAGTTAACTTAACTTTCTTCATTTTTATTTGCTTTACATTCATTTTTATACGTTAAGCACGAATTTATCATTGATGGAAAAGAATATTAAAATTTCCATGGAATTTGAATAAGCAGGGAACAAACCAAACCAAACAGCGAGATTTCTAGTATGGATTAAGATATATTTATATAACGCTAATGTTTCTAAAGTTCATATTAAAGGAAAAGTTACAAAAAAAAACAGTGGGGAAATTCCATGTACAAGTTCAATGTTGCAATAGAATTGCACGCGGATTTTTGCGGAGGTTTCTACAAGAGATTGAATAGCGTCCTTAGAACTCTACAGTTTTTTTGACTGGCTATCAGCTGGTTAAACTTCTCCATGTCTGTCTGACGGCATCGTTGATTTCTCTCAAGCGCCAACAATAAATAAGAGGATTGAGGGAAGAATTAATAAATACCAAAGTTGCTGTTATTTCGTAAGATATCCGCGACTCAGTTGAGATCCCTTCGGCTTCGATCACCGCAACCGTGCACATGTATGGTGTAAAACACACAGCAAGGATGCAGTAAACCCAGAATGTACTTATTGCTTGCCTCTTGATACTAGCCACATTTATTTCTTCTTCGTCAGCTTTTTGAAAAGACAAAATTCGATTGCGTTGAACGTGAATGACGGATCGATGATGGACCACTACGCGATAAATACTAAAGTACGAAAACGAAGCTATAGATAAGCTCACAGTTATGATAACAATCGCCACTATTTTTATAACCTCATGCTTCCATAACCACAACGAGCCAAACAGTGAACTGAACAACCAAACGCAAACGAGAACTAAAATTGCGCGGTTGATAGTGATGAGTTCTTTGTATCTCAAGTGAAGACGGAGAGCGAGATACCTGTCCAAGCTAACAGCGGTAACCGTTAGAAGCGATACAATGCACAAAGCGTTAGCGGTAATTTCCACTGAGATTCCAGCTTCGCAGAACAGTGGCTTGTTTCGAATGACTTTGGCCAATATTTGCGAGAAAAACAGTGGATGTACTATCAAGCCCACACCGAGATCGGAAAGCGCTAGACCAAATAAAAGAGTCCCTGACGGAGTATGTAGGGAAGGAGCTCGGTAAATGGCTACCAAAACAAGTAAGTTAGACAGCGTCGCAATTACGGAAAACACGGCGTTCACGACACAGGTGAAAATGTACCAAGCGGGCGAAGATTCGCCAAGATTGAAGTGTATATCAGTAAAATGATAGCAAATTAGTCCGTCGTTGAGTTCATCTTCAGTTGAAACGGCCATCTTGAACTCGCTCCCCTTGGCACCGATTTGGTTCGTGAACAAGTTTAATTTTTTTTGGTCTTTTTGGACTTCCGCAGACCCGTTTTGGATTTTATGGTGCAAGAGAGTGATACTGACTTGACAGAAAACACACTTTGGAGAACAGAACTAATGCACTTTAACGATCGGAAATGCAAACGATAAACAAGATTTTCGATTTTATCTGATCATGTCTTGCCAGAAGATGCAACGTGAAGACCTAAAGCGAGAGAGTATAGCAAATAATCCAATCAGATATGACAACTGATTTAACAACAGCAGCTGCTCGATGATTGGCGTTGGCCTGAAAACATCCAATATCAGCTTCTATATCAACGGTTCTTCGGGCAAAGTACACCGTAAAACGATATGCCTTTCAAAAGTACACACACAAAACAACACAAATTCACATTGCGAGGAAACGGAAATTAAAATGAAGAACGTATTATTTGACAAGTAAGTTATTAAAGTGACGATCAGTTCACAATTGGTTAGTTCTTCAAGGTGGAAATCAGAATCCAATGATTTCTGCTGGCCGCAAGTATTAACTCAGAAGCCGAGAGTAATAGTTTAAAGTTGCAGCCGATGTTATGATTCAAAAAGTGAAAATTGTTGTTTTATTCCTTTCGTACTTTTAAAATTTGTGGGGTCTGCATAGGGGAAGTTTTACGATGAACGAGACAATACAATCATCTGGGACAAGGGAATACCTTTCAATTAACTAAGAAGGCAGAACACAATGTATTTGTTTAAGAAGAAACACGGATTAAGTCGACAGACCAATCCTGGAAAGGTATTTTTTGAATAAGATTGATTCAGCATTATTGTCTTCATAATTAAACCAATATCGGGCAGAGGCTCCGAGCAAATACTGAAAAGAGAGCAAGATTACTGCGAACAATGGTATAAATTGGTGATAAATTGAACGGTTTGAATTTCAAAGAGGCCAGGCCAAGATGACTTGGGGCGCTTGTCAAGACTGGCTACTATTTATTAGGACTTTCCAGTCCGGTTTTTCATATGCTGGATAGCACTATCCACCGGATAAATCACTATCCAACGGATAAGTGGTAGGGAAACCAACTGCGTTATCCACTGGATAAAGATTTAACCAGTGGATAGTATTATCAACCTTTCGAACAACTGGGCAGATTATTCTTAATGGTATTCACGGCAGTGATGGGTTTAAGGTAAAATTTCGAGAAGAGACTTATCAAGACTTTCCGGTCACATTAGTTTACTCTTAAATGGTATGCAAGTCAGTGATGGGTTTTGGTTAACATTTCGAGAAGAGACTTATGCATACAGTAAACACCCGCGAATCTTGTGGATTAAGAACCTCCTGGCAGAAATTTGCCTCTTTAACACCCAGGAATAGAGAGTTTTCACTCAGGTGGTTAGCATCTATATAAATTTATTGGAACAAAAAACGCGTTTGCATAAGAAAAGAGTTCAACTCCCACAGGACTGGTTTGGGACACCAACATGGCCGCCGTTTCATTGCTTTGGGACACCAATATGGCCGCCGTGACGTCATGTGAAAACACAAGAACCTGTTGAAGCCAAGCAAGATCAAGCAGTTTCTTATACGTGGGTTACAGCTAAATTATGATATATAATTTAACCAAGGAGTGTAACTTAGTTGAGATTGTAAATTTAACTCTTTGGATATAGCTACAGTGAATCTTTGAACGCTAAAAAGTCTTTTTAGACAATTTTTGGCTCATTCCATTCACTTTCCTATTTTATTTACTTACTTGTTACATGTCTTGTTATATAAATTCTGTAATCAGCTTTGTTAGGGTAATGATAACAATAATACAGTTGTGAATAAATAATATATATATAACGACCAAAACAAAGTTCGTTTATTCTTCTGGCCCCAGTTGTTCAAACGTTGGATAGCGCTATCCACCGGATAAATCACTATCCAGCGGATAAGTATTAGGGAAACCAATTACGCTATCCGCTGGATAGTGATTTATCCGGTGGATAGCGCTATCCAACGTTTGAGCAACTGGGGCGTGGTAAACAACAATCTAGCCTAAATTGCCAATAAGTTCCCAAAAATACAAGAACCTATTTTGCCAGACTTCAAAAAGGTAGGTTCTTATTCGAGGGTGTCTACTGTATTTCGAAAGCGCCCTAATAAGTCTGTTCAACCAAACAACTTGAATAAACCAAACAAAGAAATTAAATTATTAGAATCTTACATAGGAACTATAACTAAGGCCCAAGCCAGACGTCAAGATTTTCATGAGACGAACCAAACTTAGTGAGTTAAATTCATGAAAAGTTCGACGTCTGGCTAGCTCAGACAGTTCGTCTAAATGAGTTTTGATCGTCAAACACGTTCCATCCGTTTGCTTCAGACGGATAGTACGTCTGACGATCTTCACATGCGACGAACTAAACTAATAAATTAAAAATTTGTATGATAATGTGTATTTAGCTTCATTCGGGAGAAAATGTATTACTTGCCTACTAAAATTGCTTTCTGGTCTGATCATGTCTCAGGTTCGACGTCTGATCCAACAGACGATCTTAACTTAAAATTCAAATTCGAGTTTGGTTCGTCTCATGAAAGGTTCGACGTTTGGCCTAGGCCTAAAATTTCTTACCAATGGACATACATCGTGGTATTTTTGTGTGAATTCACGCGGTGGTAGAAAAAGGTAAAACCCGAGTGCAAGTTGAAAATTAGCTGTGGGGACAGTGGCATCTCAATACTAACTGGGGTTTAAGTCAGTGTCTTTAGGATTCGCTTCGGCCGAAATTGGCTCAGAACAATCTTTTGGAATATCAGATTCATTAATGTACGGCTTGGCAGGGTCATCAAAAGGTGGAGGGCCAACTGTTCTCAAATTTGAATCAACAAACGGTTTCATACGATTCGCGTGACACGAAAAAGCAACTTTTATTATCGGTGATCGTGTGCAACTTAAAAAGTACTGGTGACAATTTCTCAGCAATTCTGTATGGATCCAACCAGTTATGCATTAACTTTTTGGATAATCCTTTTCTAGTTCTCGGGGTATAAACCCAAACACGTTGTCCAACTTCAAAAACAGGTTCTTTTGCCTTTTGATCGTAATAATCCTTCATTTCTTGTTGTGCACGTTGTAAATTTTCTGTCGCTAAATTTTCAGCCAATTCGACTTTTTCGACAACACGTTTTCGATAGTCAAGGACCGAAGTGCCTAAGTCACCAGCCACAGGGGGCAAATACTTAACGTCACTTGGCAAGCGTGGCTCCCGCCCATAAAGAACGTAAAAGGAGAATCCTTAATTGCATCTAAAACAGAAGTCCTATGCGCAAACAAAATAAGCGGTATGAACTGGTCCCAATCTTACATTGACAAGTAGAGTAAACCTTTCTACAAGACCATCAGTCTGTGGGTGACAACTAGAAGCATTGACCTATTGAATTTGAAATATTTTACAAACTTCTGAAACGACCCTAGACAAGACGTTAGTTCCCCTGTCAGAGAGCAACACACGTGGTGCCCCATGTCTTGAAATAATTTCATCAATCAAAAGATGTGCAATAACAGTTGCTTCGACACTAGGTACTGGGAAAACTTCGACCCCCCGAGTTAAATAATCACTAAAAACTACAATATACCTACTGACCTTACTAGAAGGTGGAAAAGTAACTAAAACATCAACAGCCACTCCGTCAAATGCACTCTCGACGGGAATCAGAAGTAAGGGTGCCGTTTTCGAATTTCGTCGAGACTTCCTCATTGAACACTCAACGCAAGACTTAATCCAATGTTCTACATCTTTAAACATACCTTTCCAATAAGTTTGGTTAAAGTTTTGTTCAAGCCAAAATGAGCACCGGCAATATGGTCACGTACATTAGAGAGAATTTCAAAACGTAATGCAGCTGGGAAAACAAGCTGAGGAAAAGATTCACGAGCATTACGCCTTCGATTGAAATCAATGTGGTAAAGCAAACCGTCTTGACCAATATAAAAATTATCGCGAGTACAATCTTGCGTGCATTTTTATCCTTAGTAGGTAGGATATCATTCTCTAGAAAATCAATCACTGCCGCTAATTCAGGATCTCTTTTTACATTTCTTGAGTGTGGGGCGTTTGAGGTTCTTCTTTATTGAACGAACTTATTTGACAAGAATCATGTGGACGTCTAGACAAACAATCAGCATTACCATGGATTCTATAAGGGCGATAAACAATATTAAAGTCAAATTGTTGCAAAAGTAAGGCCCATCTTGCAAGACGACCGGAAGCATCTTTAACATTCATTAACCAACGGAGAGAGCTATGATCAGTAACAACAGTGAACTTATGATTGGGTAAATAAGGCTGAAATTTCTTTATACCCTCAACTAATGCGAGAGCTTCTCTTTCTGTGGTACTATAATTTTGCTCTGCCTTATTCAAACCACGACCACTGTAAGCAATGAATACTTCTTTTCCATTTTGAATTTGTGCCAAGGTAAAACCCATACCAATGGAGCTAGCATCAACAAACAGCAAAAATGGTTCCCGAAAATTAGGATATGCCAAAATGGGTGCAGAAACCAAGGCACGCTTAAGCTTGTCAAAAACCTCAGCACAAGCTACAGTCCAAACAAAAGGAACGTTCTTCTTTGTCAAAGCATTCAAAGGGTTGGCAATATTTGAAAACCCTCTTACAAAACGTCTGTAATAATTAGCAAGACCTACGAAACTCCTCAATTCCTTCAAATTTATGGGGGTGGGGAATTTCTGAACCACCCTTACTTTGTCTGGGTTGGGACTAATGCCTTCTGGCGTAATCACGTGACCAAGATACTCTACTCTTTGTTTAACGAAACTGCATTTCATTGGATTCAACTTAACATTGGCGTCATAACCGTCTAAAAACTTCCTCCGAAAGGACTAAATGCTCATCTTCAGACTTAGAGAAAATGATTATATCATCGATGTAAATCAAAGCAAAATGGTATTCTAAGCCTCTCAAAATATGACCCATAAGTCTTTGAAAACTGGCTCCTGAATTCACTAATCTAAATGGCATTGTCAGAAATTCATAAAGGCCGTTCTGCGTAGCAAAGGCTGTCTTTTGTTGCGAATCCTGGGGCATTTGTACCTGCCAAAATCCACTTTTGAGAACCAACGTGGAAAACACGCTTGCACCAACCAAAGAATCTAGCGCATCAGCAACTAAAGGCATTGGAAAGCTATGTACTTCAGTGACTTTATTAACTTTACGAAAATCAACAAAAAATCTGTATGACCCATCCTTCTTTTTTACCAAAACAACTGGAGAGCTCCAAGGGGAGACAGACTCTTGAATTATTCCTTTCTCAAGCATTTCGTCCACCTGACGGTTAATCTCTTTCTTAACATCAGGAGAAACTCTATATAGCCTTTGCTTAATAGGCATAGCATCACCAACATTAATGATATGCTGTACAAGGGATGTTCTATCCAACTGATCCCCAGGAAAAGCAAAAACATTAAGATGTTTATTAAACAAATTCTTAAATTTTACTTTTTCATCATCATTCAGAATACTATTCGATAAATCAGGAAACTCTGAATAATCTTTTGGTTGTTGCCGATCATCTGAAGAATTATGTTCAGCATAAGAGGGGGAATTTTTGCCAATCTCAAGTGTGGCTAAATCATTATCAACACGCTCAAAATCTGCTGATTTAGTCATACGAAAAATTTTAACTGGTTGAGCGGAAGGGTTTACCATCCTAACAGGAATAGTTGCATCACTAGAAACCTTTACGAGCTCTGACACTCCAAAAACTGAGTAACAGTGAGGCAAATCAGACTTAGGCGTGACCAATCCATAAATTTCACTGGCACTGGTGCTTACACCTTTCGGTACTGAACTTAGGGTGCGTTCCTTTGGGATGATCCGAGATGATTAATCCACTCTGGACAAGGATTCTTCGGTTCGTTTGATCTACCATGATCCGAGTGATCTCCGATCACTGATCCTGATCCGGATCATCCCAAAGGAACGCACCCTTAATCTATCAACGACAACGACTTCTGATTGAGCGGGAAAAGTAAAAGAAATATCAGCATGCACTGACAAAATACAATTATCAAAAACTTATCCAAATCATCACCAAAACTATCAGCAAAGGGGAGTGGATCCTCGGGGTGGGAAAATTCAATGATGTTCTCCATAAAATCAATCATCGAACAATATTTTTGAAGAAAATCTCTGCCCAAAACAACGTCATGAGTTAAATCTTTGATACCATAGGCTTCAAAAGAAAAACATCAGACTTAATAACAAAATTGAGCCATACTTTACCAAGAACACTAAGAGGAGAACCACCTACAGTCGTTACACAACTAGTCGACGAGGAATCCAAACAACAATTTTTGTGAGTAAGATATTTGTCCCAAACTTGCAAACTAATTGCTGTTACAGCTGCTCCTATGTCAAGGAGGGCACGATGACTATTTCCCTTTATTGTTACACTTACAATAAAATTGTCCCTCTCGAAAGGATGAATAGAATCAATTTTACTGGATATGGCACGGAGAGAAACCCTGTCAGTCACTTATGCCCTTGTCTCTGGGCTACTTGCGACAGATAAGCCACGACACTCACAACAAACCTAATTATTTTTAGCCCCAACGATATTTACTTCCAAATTTTCTTCACTATTAGACTCAGGCGCCAACTGTTCTTCTTTTTTAATTTTTTTTATACTGACTTCGCGAGATAAAGTTTCACTTGAAGACTTCTCATAAATGACTTCACCTTTAGGAGAAAACATGGGTACATTTGGCGAATGAGCATTTTCTTTTTCATCTGGCGACGAGCCGGCGATTACATCATCAAATTTTGTTATGACCTGAGAAAGATACTTAATAACTCCAAACATAATATTTTCATTAGGGTCGTTAGAAAACTTCAGCCAGTTCAGAACTATGCCTGCAGAATCGTAGCTGGTTTAAGAAAATACGATCATGTTTCAGAAGCCCTGAAGTCCCTTAAATGGCTTAACGTAAAGGATAAACTGCTTTTTAACGACCTAGTGATAGTGTACCTCCACAGACGCTTCCAATATCGCGCAAAAACTCAGCAAAGAGTCACAAGACAAAACAAAGACCTTACGTTGCATCGGTATAGGCTGGCCACTGGTCGAAAGACTTTCAGCTACCGTAGGGCAAAACTTTATAACAGTATAGCTAAAGATATAAGAGACACTGGAAATTTTAACTCTTTTAAAAAGAGAATTTTTAAATATCTTTTTAATTCATAGATATATTTTATTATTGAAATGTAAATAGCGTTTAAAATTAACGTTCATTATTATTTATAGAAATTCCTCATTTTATCACTGAAATGTAAATAGTTTTCTAGTTTATTTTATTTCATTTTAATTCGTGTATGTATGGCGGAAGAGCCCCCAAGGGGGAGCTATGCAATAAAGTATGTATGTATGTATGTATGTTTTGAGGCTGGCCTTCTTAAGAACCCCCGTGTTGACATGTGACGGCAACTTGAGGTTCAAACATTTTAGAGTCAGACGAGATAACAGGCTCACAAGGAATTGACAAAACATAACTGAATTCTTGAACATTCTTTTTAGTAACACTTTCGGCCGAATTTCCAGAGTTACCGAAAGCACCTTTATCATAACTAGATCCGACGGAAGAATGGTTATTACTTGTAGAACTTTCAAGCACCCCATCACGGGTTCACTACCAGACACGACAGGGGCGCCAGCCAGTTTAACTGAGCGCCAATTTTTCCCTGGTTACAAACATTTTGCATATTGTTTCTCCGAGGCAGGCGTTTAAAATTAGGTTTGAAATTTCTAAATCTGCCGAATTTTGGCTTTTTACCAAAAATAATGCCTCCACAACGGGTAGGAAAATTGCATGATTGAAATTTCCGATAAATACAATATTTTTCATTATTTTTGGAAGTTTCAGTCCACACATTTAATTCGTCTCTCACAATTTGTTTAATATCCTCTTTTGAGGGATTAGACTTTAACTCCTAACATTCCTCAATTTCTTGACCATTTTTCGATTTACCAAGAGTAACTAATTCTTTTAATCTCCCAAAATTCAAAGCGGAGTCCACATCAGTTGGTTGTTGCAAAATAACGTGTTCACGTATCTCAGGTCTTAGACCTCGTACAAAACAATAAAGCCATTCACTTTTAGGTAAATTTCGACGAGAGCAGAATGAAAGAATATCGTAACAGTAATCGGCAACAGTCTCCCGTAACAACTGACGACGTTCTTCTAATTTTTGCCTCAACTGCCATAGAGTTACATTTGATTCAAAATGAGAAATTAATTTTTGTGACAATACTTTAAATTAATCTTCCTACTCTTCTAACTCTTTTCTACTTCTCTACTCTTCTCTACTTACTAGTTCAAGTATAGTAGCGGCTTTTATAGCCAAAGCTGGACATGTTTGGGTTAGCTGACCTGGGAGACCTTCAGTATTGAATATCTTATCTCTAACATGGCAACAGGTTTGCTATTTTTAGGGAATAGACTAGCCTACGCACAGTCGCAACTGACAAGTACCAAAGAACCAAGGTCAGCTCTAACACCACAAACACGACTTACTGTAAAAAACTAACATCTGACAGCGCCAAGCGAAAAACATTCCTATTATAGCAATAAGTAAATTCGCGAGCTAAGCATAAATTCAAGTACAAGTAAAAACAAAAGATCAAAACAGGAAAAAGTACGTGGACAAAACAAGACTTAACGAAACAAAAACTACACTTAAAAGATAAGATAGGTCCGTCTTAAAAACCACTTTCAAAATACTTCACAACCTCTAATGAAAATGCAACGCCCCGTCCGATCTGCCTTGCCTTCAATTTTAAGTGTTATTTTATAATGCTGATCCTGATCTACGACAAGATCAGGCTATCCCTCGCTGCTGTTTGTCCAAGTGGTCCTTGCAAGAATTGTTCGCTAACATCCCCATTAGCCTATTACTAGAAAGTACTCCCCCAGGGCTTAACTTTTGTACGCTCCCTAACATCTCCACCTACACGATGATGTTATCGTTTGGAACGGGAATTAATTACTTGACCCAGTTTTGCACGAGAATCTTAAAACAGTATTCAGGGCAGACTTCTTCACGGCGTGGCGTATTTCTCGTAACCGCCAGCAAAAAACCAAAGGATTAAGGAAAGAGTTTATGAAAATGAGAATGGCCGTCATCTCGTACCAAAATATCGTTGTCGTTGAAAGTCCACGCAGCATTATGGCTATTACCACACAAAAATAAGGGAAATAACACACGATGATGAGACAATAAACCCAAAATGTGCTCAGTGCGTGTGCCTTAAATTTAGCCAGGTTGACTGCTTGATTTACATGGTATTGTTGCACCGAACATTGTAAGGCCAGAGTAGAAAAGTAATGGCGCGAAACAGCGTGATATATTTTAAAATAAGAGTATGTGGCAGCCATTAGGCATATCGCAATCGTCACCATCACAGCAAATTTTATAACCTCAGGTTTATAGAGCCACAAAGAACCAATAATAGTTCCAGCAACCCAGATGAAGCCAATAACAAGGGTAACACGCTTGATCGTAATCAGCTGTTTATATCGCAAGTGAAGTTCAAGGGCCAGATACCTGTCTAAGCTAACAGCGGTTACAGTTAGGAGCGAGATGATACACAAAGCGTTTGCGGCTATTTCAGCGGCTATTCCAGCGTGGCAGAAAACGTCTCTATTCCGCGCCAACTTCCCAATCATATGCAGGAGAAAGAGGGGGTGAACAATTAAACCAACACCAAGATCCGACAGAGCCAGACCGAACAATAGCGTGTTGGACGGCGAATGGAGTGAGGGGGTCTTGCTAATAGCCAGTAGAATGAGCAAGTTGATGACTATGGCGATGGATTGGACAACGCCGTTTACAACAAAACTAATAATGTACCAAACAAGCGAAAACTCTCCTATACTGTAGTGAACGGAGTTAAAGTGATAACATGAAAGGCTCTCTACATCCCATTCGTTGGCTTCTTTCGTAATGTTGGACGCATTTCTGGAAATGTTTTGTACGTGCATCTCACGCTGGATTACTGATTTCCTTCAAGGCCACGTTATGTTAATGTCTGGCTTCATTTCTTCTTCCACGTAAGACAAGTCGTCAAAAATGGAACCAAAATAAATGAACCAAAGTGATTCACCGTGAACTTGTCAATACCGTCGAGTAGAGCATAAAACGTGAGTAATAATAACAGTAATAAGTCTAATCATAATAATGACAAACAGAAATGCCCCCAGTCTCGCCCACAAAAGAAATTTCTCTCTCGATTTCAAGTTGCGTAGTGCGGAGTAAAATAAATAGTGGAGTAGATGCATAACATTAAAATTGTGTTTGAATTCATATGAAGGCAGTGTTTACACGGTGTAACACAACTTTTAAAATAAGATCAATAAAAAGTTTCTCGTCGCCAAATTGCAGGCTTTATAGTTCACTTTTTTTGGATGGCCTTCCAACTTAAACTTTCATTATTATTTTTTTTTTTTTTTTTTTTTTTGGGGGGGGGGACATTATTGAATCAAATTTATATTCAAAACATGCACGATTGTATTCTTTAGACTGGATATTTTGTTGTAAAAATGTCATTAGAATTTTGACATGACAAGTTTTATCCAGAACGAAAAATTGTTCAAGATGATCGTGTAATCTGAGTTCAGCTGACTCCACAGCAAATGACCAAAGTCTACAATTTAGAAGTACTTTAATTAACGCGTAAATCCCATTAATTTAACTGTTTTTAATTTCGATTAACAATGACTCATCCTTAACTAAAGTTGAATTTACTTTTACTAAGATAAAACGCTGAAACGTCAAAAGCGCTGAAACACAATGAAACTGGCCGCAGTGGTACACTTTTTAATAAGTTCAATTTCCGATAAAAATCAACCGGGAAACTTAATCTCAAGGAAAATGAAACAGCGAACAAGGAAATTTACCAATGTTATGAATATACATGTTAGTTCAACCTACAGAAACAGAAAAAATATTAAATTTCATTTCTTCCCAAGACATCTCTACAAAATTCCATCTAAGCCTACCCTAGTTTTTCTTTTCCTTTTTTCTTCTATTTTTGAATTTCAGTCGAGGCTTATTCAAATGCAAAAATAAATCTTTTAAAAAAAATTACCAGCAGAAGGAAACGTGATGGGAATAAGCCAAATATTCAAATTATTCTAAATTTCACTGAATACTCATTCCTGCATCCGCATATTTTCTTTTCAGAAAAGAAAATATGCGGGATGTCCATTGAGTTGCTTGACGCACGCATCGCATAAGTACGTGTCCTCAGCAAACTACTCAAGCATCTTATGAAATAAATTCAATAATCGTTTTTAGGAGGCTGTCTGGTTGCTCGTTAGGGGAAATGGAATTGAATTGAGGATGAGAGAAATAAGCGGAGTGGAAAAGGTATACCCATAAACCGGTGAGCTTGCTTTTGAGTTCAGGAGCACCTTGCTGTGGGTGTGGACTATCTGGTGGTTGTCTATTAATCATTCATTTCAAATTTCAGTTCTAAACAGCTGCCCTAATTCTAGTACTTCCCCAGATTTTTAAGATACACCCCCTTAATATTTATTCACTAAGATTATTCCGAAAATTCTCAAACAATTATTGAACTAATGACTCCCACCTTATTGAGCTATTGGTTGAATGGAAACTTGGCAAGATATTTAAGAAAAAGGGCGGAGATAAACGAAAAACAAGGTTTTTAGCCGGACAGTCCCCTTAACTATAGCATTTGCTTAGCATACGAGTATACTTTAGCACACAGCGGATACGATGACGCTAATCTGGGCGGTGCTATACCCTCAAGATCACGATTCACGAGCCCATCAGTCCTAATAAAACCTAAAAGAAAATTTTTTTCAAGGGTTATTTCTTTGTATTTATTGTTTCTGCTGTTTTTGTTTGTTTCTTTGTTGGTTTTAGGATGTCAACTTTCAATCTTACTTATTAAATGGCGTCAGGGTTTCAAGAACCTTCGCGCTACACCTACCCTAAATTGGGCGGAGAATCCGCTACGCCTATAACTAAATAGATCAGTAAATTGGCTATTACGTTTAAAGACCCTAGGTAACCTTCTACCATCGTCAAAGCGAACGGTTAGCAGGCGTGGGTCACTCAGTCTCTTACGCCTAAAAACAAATGGCATTGTACTGTGTCGTGGCAAAAATATGCTTAGACCTGTCTCGTCTCCAGTCGCTCGCGATCATTTTGGGGGATATTTGAGTTAATTATTCAGGAAAGCGGGGACGAAGAGAGCGATGGGAAGGGGAGAAAAAAAAACAATCCCCGCTCGGGCAGGCGCTCTACGCTCATTCCCATCACCCCCCTCTCGCGCTTCTCGCTTGCCTCCAGCTCTCTCTTATTATTGGGAAAGCCAGTGGAGGAGGCAGTTCTTATACGAAAGATTATTTTTATCAATGGAACTTCTGAACCGTATACCGATCTTTTATCCATGATTTCATTCAGTGACCAGTTTTTTTTTTTTAACTAAACAATGAATAATTCCCTCTCTTAAAAATTCGGTAGGACTGTCCTCAGTTTCTAAGTGTTTGGACGATACAAACCGAAACTCAAATATAAAAAATAAACAATATCACCTAAACTTTTAGTCCGATTGCTTTACTGACTTTACCTGTCGGCTGTTATACTTAACTGATTAAAAAATATATTTGTTTTCCGGCTTCAATTGCCGACTAAACTAAAGAGATTTAAGAATATATGCTGTTGTGGCTATTTATGTTCTCTTGAAACTTACACTCGGAAATTAATTAGTCACGTTGTACGCAGCCGCGTTCAAATTTCAAATATGAGCTGAAAATTTGCATTTTCAAATGACTTATCTAGTTGTTAATTTGAGAACACATGTTAAGGGCATCTTTTGAAGTTCGAAACAAAGAGGAAAAGGTGGTCGCAATTTTCAAGGCACATTAAGAGAAAAGATGTCACTAAAGTTGACCGTGTTTGATCGGTGAGCTTCAACCCAATTAGCAATATTT